TTGAGCGTACCCAGGGTAACAGTCCTGCCTGAGGTTTTGTTTTGCTGTGTGGTTTATATATCATGACTATTAAATCCTCCCTTTCTGTGAGCTGTGGACTTTATAAAAATAGCCACATCAGTCAATATATTTGTTCAGTATCGCTTTCTCTTTATTTTTCTTGAGACTTTCAACCTGTATTGTCATGCCAAAAGGAATATATACAACTTCTGTAGGAAAAAAACAGAACATTAGGGGTTGAGGTATAACCATTGATTTAACTTTTAATTTGTTAAAATAAATCTTAAGAAAATAGCACACCGCTTAGTAAAGTCTGATTTTTTTTTTTTTTATTAAACTATTTTGGACTTTATCTTTAAAAAAGAACAGGAGTACTCGTGGCACCTTAGAGACTAACAAATTTATTAGAGCATAAGCTTTCGTGGACAAAAGAAGTGGGCTGTAGTCCATGAAAGTTTATGCTCTAATAATTTTGTTAGTCTCTAAGGTGCCACGAGTACTCCTGTTCTTTTTTAAAGATAAAGTCCAAAATAGTTTAATAAAAAAAAAATCAGACTTTACTAAGCGGTGTGCTATTTTCTTAAGATTTATTTTAACAAATTAAAAGTTAAATCAATGGTTATACCCCTAATGTTCTGTTTTTTTCCTACAGAAGTTGTATATATTCCTTTTGGCATGACAATACAGGTTGAAAGTCTCAAGAAAAATAAAGAGAAAGCGATACTGAACAAATATATTGACTGATGTGGCTATTTTTATAAAGTCCACAGCTCACAGAAAGGGAGGATTTAATAGTCATGATATATAAACTCCACAGCAAAACAAAACCTCAGGCAGGTCTGTTACCCTGGGTTCTCTCAATCCAAAGCTCTTGGTAACTTTTACTCTGTGTGAGGTGGTGTCAGGAAATAAATCAGGGGAGACGTGGTTGTCCGATAGATGGTTGGCACAAACAGGACAACACAAGAGTGCTTTCACTTAAAGCTAAACTTTACTTAGTCTCAAGCACTTAACACACGTCCGCAACAGGTTAGTAAAACACCCGCAACCCTTGATAATTACACGCTGAGTGTGGCTCTCGAGTGACACAGCAGCAGGCTTCCGGTGACCAAATCCGTCCGCTGGTGGGGACCGCAAGATGTATCCAGAGGGAGAGTCCCCAACGAGTCCAACTACTCAAACTTTCCCCCTTATTTATACATTAGTAATGGAATGACATGTCCCTTAAAGAAAACTTGATAAGTAAGCAGTTTCAATGGCCAAGCAAGAGGTTCCTTCTGATTATTGATTAACCAGGTATGGGTTTTTCCAGAGTTTGTAGCCTTGAGATCCCAATAGACTTTCCTGTGGCACATCCTGCTCTTTTAAAATGCATGTATCAGCAACTTCAACACAATTCTTATCAGGAAGGATGTAGGGTCAAGCTGCCCTTTCTCTGGCACCCAACACCCCCACCCCCTCCTATGTTGGTTAAGCTGAGACTGCTGAGTAGGCTGCTTTTAGCAATAAGCCATAGTGGTTTCAGGCACTTTACTGGTTTGCCAAAATTTCCCCGTACACAACTAAAAAAGTATCTCCAGGTTTGTGTCTATTTATTGAAATATATACATTTGTCACAGTTGCAGGGTTATATGTCTCCCCATCCCTCTCTGGGTCTCAGTGCACCCCAAAGGTGACAAGCCTCAAACTTTCACCTCTCTAGCTATAATTATGTGATTCTCCCACTTCTAGACCAGGACCTGTGTTACAGATCCCTGTTTGCTAACCAGGATTAGCTCAGCAAACCCAGCTTAAATTCAGTTCCTGCAGTTCTGCGCTAAGGGAGCTGTGGCCAGTGGTACATACACAGTGACCATCCAATCTTTGAACATGGATTTTTAAATAGATTACCTACCTCGAGCTTACTATTCCTGTATTAGTAGCCAAGTAAGCCCAACTTCTTCAGATTCCCTCTGTAAAGTGTCTTTGGTAGCCATTCCCCTGAAACGGACTCCCCCCGCACTTCTCTTTCTAGAGAGTGACTAAGGGTGGAATTCAAAAAGGTATTTAGGTAATACCAAATGGAAGTCAAGTAGCTAAATACTTTTGCAAATCCCAATTGTTTAGAGTCCTTCTAGTCCTTAAGCTTAGGCATGATAAGTCTCTTAACATAGAGCCAAGGCAGGTAGGTCTTCCCAGTTGTTAGCCCAGTTCCTGTTCTCTTAACAATCCTGAAGTGGTTTACTGGAAGGTATTTTATGTTTAGTTATAGCAAAAACAAGCAGGAAATGAAATTAACAGCCCCTTTTGACTTAACACTAGTCAGAAAACATCCCTTACAGCAATTGCACAACCGTATAGCATTCATGAATTAATACATAGCAACCCCACATCCATCACAACAATTATATATATTGTATATTGCTAATAGAAAATAATGGACACAAATCATAGGTGTGCAGGTATTGATACAAATCTGATTAACCCTAAAGCATTTCAGTCTTTACTTAGTTATATGAAATAGAGTTTGGTTATGTTGAAGACAAAAGGCAGATTACAAGGTTAGTAATATCAACCAAGACTGACCAAACCAAATTCACATCCGTGAACTTCAGTGGAATGACAAAGAATAAGTTGTTTGCAGGATTGTTGTAGCCATGTTGATCCCACAATATTAGAGAGAGAAGGTAGTTGAAGTAATCTCCTTGATTGAACTTAATCCTTAGAAGTTGAACTCATTTCCTTTGTTCCTTAAAGGAAGCTCGTCAAGGCTAAGAACCCCACAATTCAATTTTACCTATAGCAGAAGCCATTAAATTGAACTTTTGCCAGCTGTTTCTATAGCTTTCCTATTCCAAGTATAGGGGATAATTATGGAAGTTGAGATTCCACCATGTGGTAACTTTAATGACTGCTATGGTAGGTAAAAATACCTGCTTGTCAATCTCTGAAAGGGTCACTTTCAAGAATAAAGGCAATGGTCCAAATTCATCTCTTATGTCACGTCACTGAAAGTAATGCAGTCAGCATCTTTCACACCATCTCCCCAACTTTTAACATTCTGCTTTATTTCAGAATCTTCAAATCACTCTTACATTATCACAACAGCAATAAAAAGTAAACCATTAAGACTGTTCATGTGCAAGCTTCAGAGTGGCATATAATGTTTCCCTGCTTGTGCCTATCTGTTCCATTCTTATGAGCAGGCAGAGTATTGACATTTACAAGAGACCTGCTCTCCAAGGGTTTTATTATATGTACTAGGACAGAGCAGATAGCCACAGCAAAGGAAAAACATTAGGCACACACAGCTGGCATAACTGCATTCTACCTTGGAAAAGAGTTTTCCCCTATACAGTACTTTCCGTTTACAAAATGTGTCATTGTGTTGTTAGTCTAGCTAGTAAAATGCCACATTTTTGCAGTAGAGTAACTCTGTATTAATGTATTTTTCTTTAACAAGTTGTCTCAACGTTCTTGCAAATTTCCATGTGAAATTCTGACATGAGGTTAGTTCTTCGCCCTTTACCTCTAAACTGCACTTCACTTCTCTTGTTTCTCTGACTGAGGTTTGTTTTCAATGGGCTTCATCGCTGGGAAGAATAGCACTTCCTAAAGCAGGGCGGGGGAAAAAAAAAACACACCACAAGTCAGTGTTGCCAAACCCAAAACTTTGAAAAAATCATGAGTCAGGTCCCAAAAAGTAATGAAACTGGATTAAAAATGAGATTAAAAAATGTTGGGTTCTTATTAGTCTTTCCATTTTTGAGCCTCTTCAATGCATTTGGGTCACTTTTTCAAGTTTCTCTCTGCAACTATAAGGACTAGAAACTTGGTGGGGGGGGGAAGAAGAAGAAGAAAGGTAAGTTAAACATCAACTATCACAAGACTTGCAATAAGATTGCAAGAATTGGCAACACTAATTATTGGCTTTAGATTCACTTCAATTAATTTGATAAAGCAAACTCTCAACCTTATTCTTAGTCACAGTCAAGACCCTTTTATCCTGTTCTAGTAGTAAAGGAGTCCTAAAGAGGGATTAAATATCATTTACTTACAGATCAATGTAAGAGAGCCTTTGTGTAAGTGAGAATCAGGCCCTGGGTCTACTGAATGCTGGACATTGTACATTGGAATTGAAGGCCCTTTAAATTCTTTAAGCATCTCAGCACCATTGGCTGGAAGTGCAGAGTTAAGCACCTACATTAAGTTGTAGTTACACTGACAACTCCTGCTCTCCTAATTCATGGTCTGGACCAGCATTGTATTTGTCTCAATGCCCAGTCACCTGCCCCCTATTTAAGGATGAGTGCTACAAATACAGTTGTCAAAAGAGGTACTGACAAAGTAATATCGTTGTTTTGTATGACCCTTCAACGGGCAGCCACATTTGGCCCAGATGAGGGTACAGAGACAGACCATACCTGGTTTCTTAGGTACTGGGGGAGGGATACACACTTCTAAAATATATGGATAAGTGCTTTTTGAATTTGACCTTAATGCTAGTGACCTATTATAATTTACTGCAAGAAGCTGTAGGTGTCTAATACTGAAATACGGAGCTTTATGTACTGTACTGCTTTTCAGGGAGCTGTAGAATACACAAAGAAAGAGATGGGGCAGGGGTTCCAAATTTTTTGGTTTGAAGCACCCCCAACGTGATCGAGCTGTACTCTGTTGCAACTGCCACATCTTACCTTTTTCCTGGGCAGAGATACTCGGAAGTTGGTAGGTGGCTGCCAGAGTGAGATTGGGCTTCCCAGCAGCGTGGCTGCTCTTTCCACCACATCACTCATTATGAAGGGGAAAGCTGAGGCATATTCAAACATGCCCTAAGCAGCAGCACTTGCAGTAAGGATGCACATACAACCCTGGGCGTAGGACACCCCTTACAGGTTGGGGAAAGTTGCAGTATAGGACATTTTAAACCTATTCTGCATCCTTGTTTCTGCCTGCTTTACAAACAGCAAAGAGCTGCAGGGAAAAAATAGCAGAACCGTAACCATAGGCATAAAAACTACTTATCTACCTTTTGCTTTTTTCTAATTACAGCCTAACCCACCTTAATGTTGTTGGAGTCGGTGAGGAACATGGCAAGACGGTCAATTCCTATCCCCCAGCCAGCAGTAGGAGGAAGTCCATATTCCAATGCTGTGCAGAAGTTTTCATCAATACTCATGGCTTCTTCATCACCTGCTGCTTTAGCCTAGGGCCCCAAAACAATATGAACATACAGTATTTCAAATATCAGTTTGGCAAGCCTATAGGCACGGCCAAGGAGGATGTACGGTACAGCAGATATAACTGTCAAAAAAGGAATGGAATTCTTTTGTTGGGCTCAAGGTCCTGCTTTTCAGAAGGGACCGAAATTATAAAAAGCG